CTTCAAAGGGCGGCACGGGGGGCTCCCCCCGTCTTCTCCTCCGCTTCGAGGTCTCCTCTTCGGTGCCCGGAGGTGTGGGGGTGTGCCTCAAAGTCCGGGGTACTTTCCTCTCTTACGTTTGGGCCAGAAAATGCGGGCCGCCGTGCAGCGGAAGGCAGGGGGTGACTCCTCCGGACCCTGGAGGAACCGCTTAGGGGCTTCTTGATTCTCCCGAGGCGCTTCCCTCATGCCCTCGAGATGGAGGCTTCCTCTTGGAGCCCCGAAGCCCTCCTAGGAAGACCATCCCTGGGGGTTCTCGGGAGGCAAAAGAAAGTTAAGAGGCGGTCCCAGGCGGAAACGAAATTAGTCACTTCCTACCACATACCCTAACCCTTCTGCAAGCAAGACATTGGACCACCCACCTGGAAGTAAACGCGGTCGGGTGCCTCGAGAGCCTTAAGCTCATAGCCCGTGGTGAGACCTCATCCCCGACCCAGGTTGAGGTAGGTGGCCCCCTGGGCCCTTTGAGCAACAGTTCTGTCACCCAAGGGGGTTGTTTAACCTGGCGGTGACTTGTGATGACTCCATACGAATTAACCGAGGCTGAATCACCAAGCAAATCCAGGCAGTTCTGAAATATTTTGAAAAGTTCTCAGTTCAAGACTAATTATTAACCTTCCAATTCTCTGGATTGGCATAGTCTGCTGAAATGTGCTTTTAAAGACAAACTGGTTAAAAGGATGCAAGATCCGTGTTGCTGGAAGAGAGTGCTGTGATATTTGCAATTGTCTTTCGTACTTAAAAGTCTTGTTCAGATATTTAGGAGAACTTTTCCACCCCCAAAGGTAATCTGTTGCCTGTATTTGGCTTGTGACTGTGGCTTAATTTGGCTTTAACATAAATATCTGGCAGGCTCCTCCCCCAATCAGTAGATATTCTAGATAGGCCTGTTGCTGTTTGGTGTGAAACAGAAAATAAAACATTTCTCCAGGTCATGTTGAGAGAAGAAGACTATAAGAGTTGGGGAGAGGAAATACATACAAGAGACTTGACCGCCCCAGAATTTGTAAGGCATAAGGCAGTATCATACTAAATTCAAAAGATTTGTTTTCATTTTTTAAAATAATTAATTGTGTGAGAGAGGAAATGATAAGAGTGGGCTCATTATAAGCAGTGGGAGGAATTGTTTTCCTAGTCATGGCTAATAAGACAAAATTGTGGTATAGAATATAACAGGGAAACCTCACAGGAGGAGTCAGAAAATACATTGCAGGTGAATGAGTGGATTATTTATTATTTATTTATTTATCGATTAGTTTGTTGTCCCACCTATTTATGCATTCATTGGTTGATTCTTGTACGTGCCCTAACTGGGGCTTGAACCCACAACCTTGGGTGTATTGGAACGATGCTCTAACCAACTGAGCTACCCAGCCATGGCCCAGTGGGTTATTTAAAAGGGAAAAGGAAATCAAGAGAAAGGTATTCAGATTTTCGAGGTGTTTTGTGTTTAAGTGCTCTTTTCCCTTAACATAGGAGCTATGTTCTGATTTAGTAGTACATTAAATTTCTGCCTCCCATAATTCCTAACAACTGAGCATTAGTAAGCATAATGTTTCTTCAGAATTCATGACCAATATGATGAAGAAATAGCAAGTTGTTAAAATGAAACTTAAAAACCTGCCTGACTTTTCCTAATACATTTTAGGGGAAAATTCCTCTCAAAGCGCTATGGTGGTATTTGGAAGAATGCGCTAATGGAATACGCTAAACAATGTTTAGGGCTGCTTCTAGGAAGTCTTTCAGAAGTCTTTTTAAAACAAAGAATTTAAGTATATTGCTTTGTACACGAACATGAGAATATTTGTGTGAGTTTTTTTTCTTTCCTTTTAAGCAAAAGAGAGATTTTTGGTAACTTCATGAGAACAAGAATATCTTAAAAACACATTTTAGCCCGGCCAGCATGGCTCAGGGGTTGAGTGTCAATCTGTGAACCAGGAGGTCACGGTTTGATTCTCGGTCCGGGCACGTGACCAGGTTGTGGGCTCAGTCCCCCAGTGGGGGACTTGCAGGAGGCAGCTGATCAGTGATTTTCTCTCATCATTGATGTTTCTATCTCTCCCTCCCTCTTTGAAATCAATAAAAAATATATTTAAAAAAATATATATATATTAGTTAATCCCCACCTGAGGATATTTTTCCATTGATATATATATATATTTTTAGAGAGAGAGTGGAAGGGAAGGGGAGAGAGAGAGAGAGAAACATTGATGTGAGAGAGACACATCAATTGGTTGCCTCCCACAGGTGCCCCAACTAGGGCCTGGGACTAAGCCTACAACGGAAGTACGTGCCCTTGACTGGAATCGAACCTGGTACCCTTCAGTACACAGGCTGACACTCTATCCACTGAGCCAGACCAGGTAGGGCCTTAAAAATATTTAAGTTAGTTTTTGTTTTTCTTAAAGTGATATGCTACTGCTCTAACTCCGATCAGCAGTTTCTGGGGGTTATGTGTGCCATAAAAATACACATAAGATGTTAAATGCTGGGGACGTCTGTAATACTTTCAACAATAAAGATAAATTTTTAAAAAAGATGTTAAGTGCACAGGTGTGCATCATGCTCTTACTATAAATTTATAGTATAACATGTTTTTAAACCGAAGACGTAAGTTCATTTCCTCACATATTCCTACATTTGTCTTTTATGAGCAGAGAGGTTAGAAACTTCTAAGATTTCTTTGCATTCTCCAGAGTCTATGTTTCTGTGTTTGAAGGGATGAATGTGTAACTGGAACCCAAGGTGGGCTGCCTGCTGCCACAAAAACCAAACTCATTAGACAGATGCTGGTGAAAAAGAAAGGTTTTATTCAAGTGCCGGTCGCCTGAGGAGATAGGGGACTCTTGTTGCAAAGCCCATCTCAACGTCTCAGTGCAGGCAGAGTTTTTATAAGGAGGGTGAGGCAAAGTAGAACAAAGAAATCAAGGGAAGGGGGTTGAAGAATTCTCTGTGTGCAGTCCAGCACAGTCCATTCTAATAAGACCTTCAAAACTGCTCAAGTGATAGTCTAGTGTGGGTCATCCTGGTTCTTCGTTTGAAGGTCAGCAAATCTTCTGGAACTGGGATGACTGAAGGTCGGAATTGGTAACTTCTGAAGTTAGTTCCTAGGATTCTTATACAAATGTAGTTTATTTACAAGCTACATATTAGTCAGAATCAGCATTTACAGGAACAATATCAGAAAAATAGTGGGGTGGGTTACAAATGTACAGATGCTCAACTTACAATGGGGTCACCAGTTGACGTCACCCAGGGGGTTTTTTTTGGTGATAGCTGTGAGATAATAGGAAATACAGGGTGTGAGAAAAATGTACATACACGATCTAGATTTGCCATTGGCATCTGAAGTTGAGGGATGGGAGATAGTCTTATGGGACTGAGCCCTTAACCAGTGGGATGTGATGATATCTCCAGGTGAATAGCATTAGAATTAATTGTAAGACACTGAACTGTTGTCGAAGTGTTGCTTGTTGGTGTGGAAGCACACACGGTTATTGCTCCCCATTCTGATGTCAGAAGTGTTGTGATTGTGGTAACACATTAGTGGGAATAAATGAGAAACATCACAGGAGTGCTGGGTGTTAGGTTTTTTCTTTACAGTAGCCATCCTCATGAGCGTAGACATTACTGTTTTGTTTTTTTAAATGTTTTTATTAGAGAGGAAGGGAGAGGGACAGAAGAAGAGAGAAACATCGATGTAAGAAACATTGACCCACTGCCTCCTGCATGCCCCTCATCAGGGACTGAGCCCGAAACCAGTGACCTTTTGGTGCACAGGATGACACTCAACTAACTGAGCCACATGGCCCAGGACGATATTACTGTATCACTGTTTTTTAATGATAACAGTAGACAGAGTTTTCACAAGGAAGGGTAGCAGTAAAGCAGTAATTTTTCCTCCCTGCCATTCAGAGGAATGAGAGGAGGGTCAGCCTTTATTGGAGGTAAAGAGTTCAATTAGCATTAGGGAAATTTTGAAAGAGAATTGGAAGCTTTGGTAGAATTAGAGCTGGAAGGACCTTTGGGGGGTTATGTAGTTCAGTCCCTTTATCTCTTTGTAGGACTTTATTAAAACTAATCTTAATAGATGATTCCATCCTATTTTTAAAGACCTCTGGAGGATTTGCAGCAAATTTTCTCATCAGCATGTTACAGTATTCAGTGATCTTAATTTCCAAGAGTTGGGTGTGTTTTTTTAAAGCTCCTTGTTAATGGCACTTTTTTTTTAGATCTTTAATTTCTTTATAGAACCTTGTGAGATGTTCCTTAATTAGTAAGTATAGAAGGAAAAAAAATTATCTGCTTTTGAGACAGTTTTGAACCTAACTTTATTTTCTTTAGTAGTAATTTTAATGAAATATTAGAAGGATGATAGCCTTTTAGCCACCAAAATAAATAAGATTCTAAAGGAGGAATTGGGGTACAAGTTATGTTCTTATTTAAATAATAAGCCAGGAGAAATAGGAAGAACAAAATGCTGGTCCTGCTACTTATATGGTTCTTAGAAGGCTACAAATGAATAACTAATGAAGGGTGGTTTACTAAATAGCTACTAGCTTTTGTTTCCACTTAATAGAAACTGTAACTCTGAAAATAAGTTATGAGACAAGAACAGGAGGAGTAGCTAGAATGTCCAGTATACCTGTTCAGGTTTCCCAGGGCCTGATGAGACACTG